CTTCTTCTTCCCCCCTTTTTGTTTTCCGTTCTATGCTGCTTCCTTTCGTCTTCCTTTCGGTTTTCTTTTTTATTGTTCTTAGTTTTCCCCCTTTTCTCTGTATTCTTCGAGCGGAGATCCGGTTTCTATTCTTTCTGTCTTTCTCTTCTCGCTCCTCCTCCCGCCATGTGAATTCTTCGTTTGCTTTAGTTGCCTGGTCCTGATCTTCTAAATAGGTGCGTGGTCTGTGTTGTGGACCTCCCTCTCTACTTGACTAGCGATGTCTTAACTTTTGTATTATTTGGCTGGTGTCGCTTCTGCCTTCTCGTTTGTCTTCTCTGTACTGTGACTTGTGTCTTTCCCTCTCTGTGCACTCTATCGCCTTTCAAGGTAAGGTGTTGCGTCTCTATTCGCTTATCACCTCGCACTCTGTTTCTCTAAACTTTATCTAATTGGCCCGGGCCTCGAGAAAATTTCACCTCCTCTCTCTTCCTCTTTCTTCTTTCCGTTGTCACTTCCTTCGTCTACCTCCTCTCCCCCTCTCTCCGTCCTCCTCCTGTAACTCATTTTCTTCCGCCCTCTCCGTTCGTTCCCCTTCTCTTCGTTCTTCTTTTTCACTGTTATTTTCAAATCTGTTCTTTCTTCTTGCTTCTTCTTCTTCTTTTTTCCTGTTCTTCTTCTTTCCTTTGACTTCGGTGCCGTGCTGATTCCGAAGAGCCTTACGAGTGCATCAAAGGCCGGGAACATGAGAGAGTGCCGACTAGGGAAGGGGGAGGGAGAAGGGGGAGGAAGAGGCAGGGGGGCGTGGGGTGGTGGTCCGGTGTGGGGTTAAAGGCGGGTGGAGTGTTGGGATGGACGTAATTGTTGTTATCCGGTGTGTGTGGAGGTGTGTTATCTTGGGTGCTGGTTGGTGTTTGGGGATTTTGGCTGTTAGTGAGTGCTGGTGGGTTGTGTGGAGTAGTAGAGGCCTTGTCGTGGTGGGGTTTGTTTGTTGTGGGTCTGTGCCGGTGCCCCTCCTCCCTAGACAACCCCCACCTCCGGGGATGTTCCGCGGTGGGCCCCCCTGTGAGTTGATTTGGGGGTGGGGTTGGGGGTGGGTAGGGGGGGGTGAGGAGGGAGGTGGGGGGATACGGAAGAGTGTTGGGGGTGGATAAGGATGGGTTGAATGGAGGCTAGGGAGATGGGTTGAAGGGGATGGGGGTGAGGTGAAGGGGAGGGGAGGGTGAGGTGGATGGATGGTTGGAAGGGAGAGGGGAGGGTGGAGGTGGTGAGATGGGTGGAAGGGAGAGGGGGAGGGTGGAGGTGGATGAGATGGGTGGAGTGGAGGTGGGGACGTGGATTGAAGGGGGTGGGGATGAGATGGAAGGGGAAGGGGGAAGGGGGGGGGTGGGAGTGGAGGTGGAATAATGTAGGGTACGATGGTGGGTATTATAAAGGCATGAAGTGGAGATGGGTGGAGTTTCGGAAGGGTAGAGGTAGGGAGGCAGGGGGCTGTGATGGGCTAAGGGAGGGTTTTCTATGTTGCGGTGAAATCCGGAATCGCACGTTTATTTACGTGACTCGGATGTCCTCTTCATGTTGGTTCCTTGATCAGGTTTTTGGAACTCGCTGTGTCCTTTCCCTTTATTTTCTCTTTTAAAATCCCAAAATTACCCATAGAAATACAAAAAAATGGTCCTTTAACAGTTCGAACGAATATTGAATATTGATATTAGGGTCGTATGCCAGATTACGAATTTTCTGAGAACTTACGAATTTTCTGCTATTACCTTCCCAATACGCGCTATGTACTCGTGTCTGTCTGCGTCCTTGCGTTAAGTTCGGCTTTAGAAGTGTTTTAAACTCATAAGGTCAACCTATCAGAGTATAAATAGAACCTGGGACGCGCATGCAAGGGGAGGGGCAGGGGAGAAAGGGGAGAGAGAGGAGGAATAAGGGAAGGATGAGAAACGAGAACACGCGAAGAGAAATTTCAGTAAGAGGAAAGAGAACAAATGAAAGAAAGGGAAGGAAAATAAAGATCAGGCGATAGAGGCAAAATCAAGAGCGCTTATTTAGGGAGGAAGTGATGGAGTAAATCTAGGGTAGAGGAAGGATGGAGGAGGAGGCATCGGAAGGCGCCACGGAAATGAAGAGTGGCAGGGGCGGAGGCACGGGCCGCTGAGTCCGGTTCCGTGACAGATCCCTCGTCCTGCGGTTCCTGGCGGGGCGCGGAGGCCGGAGGGCGCGGTGGACCAGAATGAATTAATAGAAGGAAAAATGTTAAGAATTCGATATTTATGTCAGTTTACGCGGTGAATGTCGATCAAATGAACAAATGGATAAAGTTGCTCAGTGAAGATAAACGGTAATTTTTCGGACAGTTTATATTCACTTTTGATGATGTTAACTTCCCGTAAGGAGGGGCGTTGATAAATATTTACAGTATAACGCTCTTGCGGATTTTACCACCTACCACATACCTCAGTTTTCTTTAATATTATACAATTCCCGTTTTCTTTTTATGAATATTGAAAAAACGCGTAATTATAATACTAATATAATCTGATTTTCAACTTCACGACCATAGACAAAATTCAAATTTCACTTCAGTAATCACAGTTAATTCAGTTTATTAGACCAAGGAAAAAAAAAGAAAAGAAAAAAAAAAACGAATACATATGGGTAGAGTTTCAAGCATTTCAAGGAATAGGGGAACTGTTTAAAGTAAATTACGAAAAGTGCTCTCGAAGTAAAGTATTCCTTATCAAAACTGGGATAAGTGGGTTCAAGATTTAACTTACTATTTTTTTTCTATTATTTCTAATCGTAGCTCAATGTAGTTGGTTTTCTTTTTTTTTTTTCATAACTTCAATCATATAATTATTAGGTAAATTGTTATTGTATTCAATTTTGTTATTGTGTTTTATATATCCAAATTCACATGTATATTAATGTAATGAAAAGGATGGTGAAGATAAAGGTGGAATCATCATCATCATATTCATTATTATCATTGTTCTCATTATCATAATTATATCATTATTATTATCATATCATATTCGTAATTGTGATTATGATGACTATCATTATCATTGTTATTTTTGTTGTTGATGTTGTTGTTGTTCTTATTATTATTAATATCATCATCATCATGATCATCAATATTATTGTTATTATTATTGTTATTATTATTATTATTATTATTATTATTATTATTATTATTATTCGTATTAGTATTAGTATTAGTATCATCATCATCATAATCATCATCAGCTCATCAGCTTCATTACTATTATAATATTCATCATTATTAGTATCATCATAATTATTATAATCCTTATTATATGTATCCTTTTCCTTTCATAATCATTATTACGTTTTTTCTATCACCATTATCATCATTATCATCACCATCACTGTCCCCACAACAACCGACCCCGCCACCAGCGCCATCTGTCCGCCGGACCCGAAAAAAAAGCCCGCGAAAAGCCCTCCCCGTCAGACCGCCATCGTCGTTGTAATTGTGACATAATTGCATCGTTAAGGGAAAAGGACGAGCCTATTTGGGTTACGGGCGTATGGCGAAAGAAGACGGGTGCGTGGGCGCCTAAGATGTGGGTCAAACGTGGATTTCTGGCGGGTGTATTAAGTGGGCGGGATTGTGGGTCGGGAGAGGAGAAGGAGGGGGAGGGGGGAAGGAGAAAGGAGAGAAAAGGAGAGGAGAAGGAGAAGGGAAGGGGAGGGAAGGGGAAGGGAGAGGGGGAGAGGGGAGGGAGAGGGGGAGGGAAAGGAAGAGTGAGAGGGGAGAGGAGAGGAGGGGAGAGAGAGAGAAGAGAAGAAGAGAGAGAGAGAGAGAGAGAGAGAGAGAGAGAGAGAGAGAGAGAGAGAGAGAGAGAGAGATAGAGAAGAGAGAGAAAGAAAGAGAAGAGAAAGAGAGAAGAGAGACGGGGCAGAGACATCACCGCTATGATTACACATAAGCGTGATTTATTGTTTGTGTCATCAACAAAAAAATAGAAAGATAAGCACGTTTTTTAGTCCTCTTTTTTGAGTGGTGGGAGGGGGGGGGAGTCGGTAGAATAGCAGGGCCAATGATGATGAAGATTATAAAGAGGATGATGATGATGATGAAGTGTATTTTTTATTATACTTTTCATGAAGATGTCTGAAGGTGAATGTGGACTATGGTGTTTCTTTTTCTTTTCTTTTCGTTTTTTCTTTTATGTCTTTTGGTCTGTATTCTCGGGACAGGTGCTGATATAAGATTATTTTTCGTTAATTGTTCTGGAAAGTGTGTGTAGAAGGGGGGGGGGGGGTAAAGGAGCCAGGCGAGAGGGCTGTTATTTTGGGGTAAAGGTTATCATTTATTTTATTTATTTTATTTATTTTGTGTTTTATATTATATATATGTTTATTTGATTATTTTTTCTTCGCATATTTGTATATGTAAGCAGAGGAATGTATGATATGATGCCGACTTTTTTAATGAAATCAAATCTGTTTTGTGTATATCTGAAGAAAATGTTCTCATCTGTATCTTAAATAGTAATCCAATGACAAGAATGACACTTGATATGAAGATATTTCTTTATCATCCACATCTGGTCAGCATTTTTTTTATCATCTGTGGCATCCTCGTTTTCTCTGACAGGTGTTACCTATCCTGTCTTCTGCTCCTCCGAGTTTTTATTTCTTTACCTTTTTCCTTGACTATTGCCTTTTTTCCTATTTTCCTATTTTAGGTGAACGAAAGGTAGAGTGTGTGTGTGTGTATGTGTGTGTGTGAAGGAGAGAGAGAGAGAGAGAGAGAGAGAGAGAGAGAGAGAGAGAGAGAGAGAGAGAGAGAGAGAGAGAGAGAGAGAGAGAGAGAGAGAGAGAGAGAGAGAGAAAGAAAGAAAAAGAAAGAAAGAAAGAAAGAAAGAAAAAGAGAGAGAGAGAGAGAGAAAGAATCGAGAGAGATTAAAAAGCTACCACATGAACAACCCTAACCAGACCAGACGCCGACCCAACTGACCCCCCCTTTTGTCCTCCTCCCGCAG